TTCCTTCCTGCCTTCTTTCCTTCCTTCCTTCCTTCCTGCCTTCATTTACCCATTCAATACATCTTCAGGGAACATCTACCATGTACTGGATACTGTGCTAGAGGCTAACCTTCCAGAGTTTAGAGCCTAATGGAGAAAAGCTACATTAAATAACTACTCACAATGAAACCCATAAATGCTATGAAAGAGAAGTCCAGAGAGCCAAAGCCTATAGCAGAGAGACCCAACCTATTCTTCACTGGAGCAGTGAAAGCTAATCCATTCCCCAATCTACAAGATCCTTCAAAATTCCTAACTGGCCTACATACAGAACAGTGCAGTATGAGATGGAGGGGTTCTAGACTTTGGTTCTAGCCCGGGTTGTCTTGTGTCTTATCTGTGCCCACCTGTTGGCGCCCCCTGTGGCTGTAAGATGCCCCTGGGCTAGCAGCTCCCCATGGCCTGCTAGCCTCTGTCCTGAGTTTCAGTGCCTCTCAGAAGGACATGCTGGATTGTTCTAATGCTCCCAAAGCATCTTTCTCTGAGGAGCTCAGTGTGCCTCTTAACTACCACGACCACCACCACCACCACCCTGGCAAAAGAGGGGACAGAAGTTACCATCCTTTTTGTAACAAGAGGCAAAATGAAGTTTGGGAGAATAGAAGCAGTGAGCCCAAAACCCCAGTGAAAATACTGCAGAGCCAGAAATGGAACTGGTAATCCCAATTTGCTGTGTCCTACTCCACCTATAACTGCGCATGGTTTGGGTTCTCTGGGACAGGTAGAGATTTTAACAGAGCAAACATAAAGAAAGAGAGAAGGGTTGGGTTATCATTTTGCCTGTAGTAATTGCCCACATGTTTCCAGATCATTTGGCTACTTCCACATCCTACTGCTTGCCCAATTATCAGACTGGAATAATGTTACTAAATGGATTCAGTAAAAAGCGATACAACTGTGAAGTCCTCTGTGAAATACTTTATATTAAAATATCATAGTGATTATTTACTTACCTTAGTATCTCAGTATCTTATTAAAGGAAAACCTGGGAAGCCAGCTTCCACCAAAATTTTCACTAAAAATATCCAAGCAGAGAGCTAGGCTAGGAAATCTCCCTCCCATTTAACTCTGGTGACGTGCCCCGGGAGGAGTGTCAAAGCTGAACCCCGCACTAACTGAGCAGGGTGCTTGTCAGCCACGTGAGCTCTGGTTTAAAGGGAAGAGCTGCTATCTCTGTGGAAACAGCCAAAATCAGTCATCCCACAGAATCACTCTCCTTGCACGCACAGCTCTCACTGATCTCATTTGCCACACACACACCCCTCCCCTGGTCCGGGCCTTTTTCCCCGGCTGGGAGTGGAAGAGCAAAGGGACAGGTTGATACCTTCTTAGCATTTTCCCACAGACCAAAAAACTTCCCCCTGATGCACTGATCAATAGCTAAGAAAGATTTGATCCAAAATTAGAAATGTGGCTTGGATTATAAAATTAGAGAAATAAAAACACATGGCTGTCTCGTCCTTGCAGGGATTAAGGGCCAGGAGCAGAAGGGATTTCCCAGTAAATCAGCGCTGTGGCTCATTCATCTTCTATCATTACATACTGTAGAGGAGAAACTCTCGGGAGAGGCTGAGGGCGCACGAAACATTGCCGGCCTATAAAACAAAAAGAAAGAAAGGAAAGGAGGAGTTAACTACACTGAGGATATCTCCTTTGACCAAATCATTAAATGGATTCAAACAAAAAACAAAAAACTATAAAATACTCTTACCACCAGGAGACAATAAGACTCATTGAAATGAGCAGCAGACTAGAAATGTAGAAGTTCTCAGTCCTAATTCAGGATTTGCAGCCCTAATGCAACTCAAGTCTCCTCAGTGTCCTCATTTACAAATGACGCATTCCCACCCTTACCGGGGAAGGTAGAAAAATAAATGAAAATAAACTTTCTTAAAGTGCCCTCAAATCTTAAAGCATGCAAAACCACATAACTGCAGGGTGTTGTTATTTCGGTATACTTAATTATTAAGCTTAACATGGAACTATAAAAGCCCTAGTAAAAATATAATTTGTTCTCCAGGCTCAGTCCTTCCTAGAGTCGACTAAGGTAGTGAGAGGGAGGCAAAGGAAGAACTAAACCTGAAACATTCCCACTGCATAGTAATGACCTCTCCCTGCCACCACCATTCGACCTTGAGCTACACAAGCTCAGAAGTACACAGGGGCTTTCCAGACAAACTGAGGAACAGAACCCATTGTAGGTGGGCTGCCATCCTGCCCTGGGCGCCAAGGAATGATGAACTGATAGAATTGTATTTCCTTCTGGTCATTTCATTTTTGCATGTTAAAAATTCATGTTTAAGGATAAAAGCAACAAGAAGCACACTATGAAATATGAGAAACGGGAAAAAGAAATGCTCTGCTGAAACCCAGGGGCTCCAAGCACTTTAGATGACTCAGAGTGTACATAGTTAACAGTCGTATTTGTTACACATTTTCATATCCTGATTGTTTCACTCTACATTGTTAGCAGGCGGACTTTTTATATCACTTCATAGTCTTCAGAGAGGGCATATTTTAACTGTGGTAAAAAACACACAACATAGGGGCGCCTGGGTGGCACAACTGGTTAAGTGTCCAACTCATGGTTCCGCTCAGGTCGTGATCTCATGGTCGAGAAATTGAGCCCTGCATGGGGCTCCACACTCAGCATGGGATTTGCTTGAGATTCTCTCCATCTCTCTCTGCCCCTCTGTACTCTCTTCCTCTCTCTCTCTCAAATGTACACATAGATCTTAAAAAAAAAAAAACAACCCTAACATAAATTTACCATCTTAACCATTTCTAAGTGTATGGTTCAGTAATGTTAACTATATTCACATTGTTGTGCAGCCAATCCCAAGAATTTTTCCATCTTGCAAATCTGAAACTTTGTACCCAACAAACGACTCTCAATTGCCCCCTTCCTTCAGCCCCTGGCAACCATCATTCTACTTTCTGTCTCTATAAATTTGATTCCTCTAGATACTTCATATAAGTGCAATCATACAGTATTTGTCTTTTTATGACTGGTTTATTTTATTTAGCATAATGTCCTCAAGGTTCATCTATGTTGTAGCATGTATCAGAATTTCCTTTTCAAGATTTTATTTATTTATTTATTTATTTATTTATTTATTTATTTATTTGAGAGAGAGAGAGCGCATAGAGGGAGAGGGAGAAGGAGAAGCAGACTCCCTGCTGAGCAGGGAGCCCGACACGGGGCTCAATCCCAGAACCCCAAGACCATGACCTAAGCCAAAGGCAGATGCTTAACTGACTGAGCCACCCAGGCGCCCCTAGAATTTCCTTCTTCTTTAAGGCTGAATATTAGTCCCTTGTATGTATAGACCACATTCTGTTTACCCATTCATCCCTCAGTGGACACTTGGGGTTGCTTCTACCTCTTGGCTGCTGTGAATAGTGCTGCCATGAACGTGGGTATGCAAGAGAAAGAGCATTTTTAATAGCTGCATTTCATTCCACCTAGAAGCTACATCACAGATGACCTGGACATAGATTGTCTGCACTTATTTAATACCATTAGTTATTCTGTTCCATACTTAACAGAGGCATAGTTAAGTACTGTATTGATATCTTATAATGTCAGATTATGAACTCAAGGTTATAGCTTTTCAAAATCTTCTGAGATGAAGAGAGCTAAAATACAACTTTACATATTTTTAAAACTCAAGGGCTCTTTCATGAGATAAAATTACATTTTATCAAGAACAAAGTTACTTTTGGGGTGCCTGGGTGACTCGGTTGGTTAAGCGTCTGCCCTCGGCTCAGGTCATGATCCCAGGGTCCTGGGATCGAACCCCACATCGGGCTCCCTACTCAGTGGGGAGTCTGCTTCTCCCTCTCCCTCTGTCCCTCCACCTGCTCTCTCTCTCTTTCTCAAATAAATGAATAAAATCTTAAAAAAAAAAAAAGAACAAAATTACTTTTGCTGTCCCAGTTAAATTTCTTTGGAAATATGTACACTAAATAATGTTACATGCAAAAGGCGAACCTACGCCTGTAGTGTATAATATAATAATAGCTTATATTTGTTGAGTGCACATGTCATGAATGGTGTTAAGGGCTTTACATGTATTAGCTCATTTAATCCTCACGACAACCCTTTGAGGTGAGCATTGAAGGGGAGCAGAATAGGCCATCCCAAAATATGCCTCTTTAGCACAAGGATTTCGAGCTAATTATTTTGAGAAATGGCAGACATGGGAGAAGCTCTGAAAACCAGAGAAGTTACCCTTTTGTGACAGAAATTTACATTTATAAGGGAACCCTCCATTTGTAGGAGCGTCTCCCTCCATGTACCTGGAAAAGAAGGATGACTCTGAATCACAAGAGAATCTTTTTTTTTTTTCTTAAGGTATATTTATTTATTTTAGAGAGAAAGAGAGAGAGCGTGCGCGCGCATGTGGGAGGGGGAGGGGCAGAGGGAGGTGCAGAGAGAGTCTCAAGCAGACTCCACACCCAGTGTGGAGCCCGACACAGGGCTCAATCTCACGACCCTGAGATCACTACCTGAGCTGAAACCAAGAGTCAACCTCACTACACCACCCAGGCACCCCTTGAATCACAGGAGAATCTTATCAATGGAGAAAGCTCACTTAAATCTGCGAACAACCTTGTTTGCATTTCCTGGTCACCCCCCCAAAATTGGCCTCCCTCCACACCTTTTTTTCTATTGTCTTTAGCTGGAAATGGTATTTAAGGTGGGGGCTTAGGACACTTCAAAGAGTTCCTCATAGCCCAGCCCCATCTCCCATGTATACAGGAGGTATGCGTGTAATAAACTTCTGTTTATTTTTCCTCTTGTTAATCTGTTCTTTATTTATAGGGAGGTCTCAGCCAAGAACTCAGAAGATTCAAGAAGAATTATCTCCCTTCCTCCCCCCACTTCCTAACAGCATCATTATTATTCCCCCTTTAAAGATAATAAAATTGAGGTCCAGGGAGGTTAAGTAAAATGCCCAAATTGTTACAGATTTGAACCCAGGTCAGTCTGACTTCAGAGCCTGTGGTTTAATCACTGCACAACCGTCTTTCGTTAACAATGACTGAAATAATTTTTTACTAAAATATATCATGAAAAACTATTATATAATATACAGTATTATATATTACATGATATATATTACATATTTTAATATTTTCCTGGCATAAATAATTATATATATCATATATTGTATATGATAACGAAAGGTCCATGGAGGGACATCTATCTCAAATTTACAAGGGTTAAAAAGGGGACCGTAACTGTCTATGAGACAATGCCTGATGTGTTCTAGTACTGTCACGTAAAAAAAATGTGCTGTAAGAGCACAAAGAAGGAGTCTGAGAAGTCTGAGGAGAATTAAGGAAGGCTTCACAAAGTAGGTGACATTTGAGCTATGCCTTGTGAGATGAATAAAATTTACCAGACAAAGCACAATTGTGGAAAGGGAGAGTCTACCAGTGAGCAGAGGAGAAACCTAAGTCATCACAGGGGAAAAAAACCAAAACCCATAATCAGGTGCTGCATTTAAAAATCTCTCTCAGGGGGCGCCTGGGTGGCTCAGTCGTTAAGCATCTGCCTTTGGCTCAGGTCATGATCCCGAGGTCCTGGGATCGAGCCCCGCATCGGGCTTCCTGCTCAGTGGGAAGCCTGCTTCTCCCTCTCCTACTCCCCCTGCTTGTGTTCCCTCTCTCGCTCTCTCTCTGTCAAATAAATAAATAAAATCTTTAAAAAAATAAAAATAGGGCGCCTGGGTGGCTCAGTTGGTTAAGCGACTGCCTTCAGCCCAGGTCATGATCCCAGGATCCTGGGATCGAGTCCCACATCGGGCTCCCGGCTCAGCGGGGAGCCTGCTTCTCCCTCTGACCCTCTCCCCTCTCATGCTGTTTCTCTCCTGCTCACTCTCTAATAAATAAATAAATAATCTTTTAAAAAAAATAAATAAAAATAAAAATCTCTCTCAGGGTAAGCTGCTTTAGTTTATCTTCTCCTAGTCTCCATGTCAATCCTCCATTTTCTTCCTCTCTTAAAATTCAATTTCATCTTGCCCTTTGTTGTACCACAGTGTTTCTATTTCACCTTTAATATGGAGCAATTGAGCAGGCGCATTAGGAAGAGCACCCTGGAAAGTTTTACAACAAAGACCCACTTACCAGGAGAGGAACAGGCCCATTTGCTACTTTGAGAATAAATCTGTTTTGGCAGCAACATGTGGGTTTGGACCACCCATGTCCTCCTCCCTTTTCTCAGGAAAGGGGGAAAGAGAAAGGAATGTAGGGAGCAGAAATGGTTTATTAGCTTTGGAAACTCTAAGGAACTGGCTCTGTAAGCTATATTTCCAGCCTATTCTTGAAGACTATACAATTCTGGTGGGAAATGGATTAGCTATACAAAATGATGGCAGATCCCCTATTTAGGGAAATGAGCTTCCATGAGAGGATCTACAACAGCTCATAGGTCAAGTGCCAAGAAAAACCAACCCCTGGAGGAGGCACTGAGCTATACTATGGACCAGTGACACCAGCTCGATAGCCAGACACTAGTCATAGTTACAGTTGGACCCAGTTGCAGATGGGAGAGGATAATGTCAGGGAGGAAGAGCTTCCTCTGCCCTATAGTCCTTCTAGATGGACACAGAATTAAATTGACATGAGACAGATCAGCAGGAGAAAACCAAATTTCGTAGGCATATGTATGCGGAATCCACACAGACACAAAATTCCAAAGACGATGAGGCAACATGAAGCTTCAATGAGCTAAGGAGAGGGGTAGAGTCAGAGGACACAAAGGGGAGAAAGCTCATCAGCAAGAAAGTGAAAGGAGATGTTTGGAAAAACATGGTTACCCTATTATGCAGATAAGTTCCTTAGGTAAAGGGGAGTCTCTGTTAATAGCTCTCCTCCTGTTACAGGCTCTCCTTTCCAACATAAACTTAGGCAGTTGCAGGGAGGCAGAGAGCTTTTCCTGCATCTGCTGGGTTTTGATTACTTTTAACTAAAAGTAATTTTTATGCCAAAGTGCCCATCTTGGGACAGCCTGCCCGGGGCCCCGACAATAACAATCAAACTTCTTCCTTGGATACCGGCAATATCACGACAGAACATCTGTGAAGAGATAGTTGCTGGCAGTGCAGAAGAGTGATCTACATCGACTCTGAACCCTGTAGACATTTGTTGATGGGAGCCTGCCTCCTACGTGGAAGACGATGGTTTTCAAGCAGTCAGGGCGCTGGAAAGAGCACTGGACTAAGAGTCAGACAGACTTGGGTGCTAATCCCAGCTCTACGAACTTCATGACAAGTTAGGAATCTTGTGGAGATTTAGTTTACTCACATGTGAAATACGGAAATAATAAAACAACTGCCCTGCTTGACTCACATTTGGTCCTGTTGGGAAGATGAAATAAATTGAGAGACATGAAAATGTGTAGAAAATTGTCAAGCAGATATAAAGCACTATATTTATTGTGATGAAAGTAGTGAGCCTCACTTACTCCCCTACCTGGAAGTAGGCAAAGGCCAAGTGATCCAAGGCATCCTCTAGACTTGCCTCATCCTCTGTCTTCCATTCTCCGTAAGATCCTCGGAAGAGACTGACAGCCTCCTCCAGCCATGGAATGGCATGGTAGTAATCCCCCATGTCATAGGCCACCTGTAGGTAACATAAGTACCACCATTAAGCCTGAATCCACAGGTAGAGGAGAGAAAATGACAAAGAGTGAGAGGGCCGATGGAACATAAGAAGGCAAGTTTTCATCTCAAATTCATTTAAATCCAATTTATCAAGCATCCATTATATCCAATGCATTGTTCTAGATGTAGAGAAGATACGAGGGTTCTTGCATTTAAGGAATTCATAATCTGGGGAGAAGAAAGATAGGAACTCAATTAACTGTAATACTGGGCAGAATGCATGAACACTCAAAAGAAATACGCATAATATGTCATGGAGGCAGAGAAGGGAGAGACTTGGGAATCTCAGAAGGCTTCGTGGAAGAAGTGGCATCTGAGGTAGGCGTCCCCCGAAGAAAGAAAAGGATTTCAATGAGTAGAGATTGAGAGGAAGAACATTTTAAAGTGAGGGAATGGCAGAAACAGAAGCCAAAAGCAAGCTTGTGTTCAAGTTGGACACTGTGGTTATAGCCTAAGGTGAAGAGAAGCAGGAAATGAACTTCAAAAGGTAGCAAGGGCTAAGCTAATAAGAGTTGTGAGTGTCATGTTTTTAAGAAGATACTGCCGGTAGCACTGTGAGAAATTGACGGAATTCATTCATTTATTTATTCAATATTTACTGAGTATTTGCAATGTATCTGGTGATCCCTGACCTTAAAAAGCTTACAGTCATATGAGGGGCACAGGAGTAAATCAATAACTGCAACACAATATATTAGATCCACATGGGAATGCTCGAAGAGCTCAGTGACTTTTTTTCTATATTAAATGTTGGAAGGCAGGAATATGGCAACGTGTACTAGACCTTGCTCCTGTCTCCTAACAGCTTACAGTTAACTAGAATACCAGCACTGCAGGTGGTATTTCCTGGAAGTTGATGTTGGAGACAGCATGGAATTATAAAATCACAGAGTTGGAAGCACTCTTACAAAACATTCTAATTCTGCTCTAACTTCCAGACCAGCAGAAAGACAGGGCAGAACCTAGAGGTACTGAAACTGCAGTCTAAACAGTAAATCAGCTGCTCTTCCAGGTCTGCCATTCATCTGCCATGTTATTTCTCTGATCCTCAGATTTCCTTTTTGTAAAAAGGTTGAGTTGGAGAATAACAATCAAAATAACTGAACTTTTTCTACTAAGTTAACAATTTGTTAAGTTATCCCAAGTCCCAAAAATATGGTAGATTGAGATAACTGGAATCCTTCCAAACAAAAAGACTTGGAACTTTTGAATAAAATATAATAAATATTTTATGACATATTTTCAAGAAAGAATGGAAAATACCCATGTACCAGGAAAAAAAAGGAGCAAATAAGCTTAAGAGCAGATGCTGAAGCTGCTTAGGATGGGGGCGGGTGTTAGTCTTAGTAATCTTGGAACTTAGCAACCTTGGTTATAATGCCCACATGAGGACAAACTATGAGCTCTCCTTAGGCCTCCCAAAACCTAGGAATTGGAACGAAGACACACTCATAAAACTGAAATCCATGAAAAACTATACCTTAAAGGAAAGGGTGGACCAGAAAAAATCTACCCACTGTTGCAAAGAGTCAAGAAAGTTGGTTTGTTTCTGTCTGGATATTGCTTAGGGGAAACAAAATGTCTCCTTAGAATATTCACAATCTTGGGGCACCGGGGTGGCTCAGTTAAGTGTCTGCCTTCGGCTCAGGTCATGATCCCAGGGTGCTGGGATCGAGCCCCGCATTGGGCTCCCTGCTCGCCGGGAAGCCTGCTTCTCCCTCTCCCACTCCCCCTGCTTGTGTTCCTGCTCTTGCTGTCTCTCTCTCTGTCAAATAAAAAAAAAAAAAAAATCTTAAAAAAAAAATATTCACAATCTTGAGCCTATGCTTCACATGAGTTTAAGGTTTGAATTTGCATTCTTCATATAGCTAAGGAAACTCCAAGCCAAAAAATCAATATAATAATGGATCTAAGGTCAGTGCAAATCAAAACCACAATGATATATCACCTCTTGCCTGTTAGAGTGGCTGTTATCAAAAGGACAAGAAATGGTGCTGGCAAGAAAGAGAAAGAGTGCTGTGCACTGTTGGCGGGAATGTAAATTGGTGCAGCCAATGTGGAAAGTAATTATGGAGGTTCCTCAAAAAATCAAAAATAGAGGGCGCCTGGGTGGCTCAGTTGGTTAAGCGACTGCCTTCGGCTCAGGTCATGATCCTGGAGTCCCGGGATCGAGTCCCGCATCAGGCTCCCTGCTCGGCAGGGAGTCTGCTTCTCCCTCTGACCCTCCTCCCTCTCATGCTCTCTGTATCTCATTCTCTCTGTCTCAAATAAATAAATAAAATCTTTAAAAAAAAAAAATCAAAAATAGAACTACCCTTTGATCTACCAATTCCAGTTCTGGTATTTATCTGAATAAAATGAAAACATTAACTCAAAAAGATATATGCACCCCCATGTTCATTGCCAGCATTATTTACAATAGCCAAGATATGGAAACAACCTAAGTGCCCATTGATGGATGAATGGATAAAGAAAATGTGATACACACACACACACACACACACACACACACACACACACGATGGAGTATTATTCAGCCATAAAAAAGAAGGGAAGTTTGCCATTTGTGACAACATGGATGGACCTTGAGGGCATTATGCTAAGTGAAATAAGTTAGACAGAGAAAGTCAAATACCATACAATCTCACTTATATGTGGAATCTAAAACAAAAACAAACAATAATAACAAAAACCCGAACCTATAGATACAGAGAACAGATTGGTTGCCAGAGGTGGGAAGTAGGGGGTAAGTGAAATGGGTGAAGGGGGTCAAAAGGCATAAACTTCCAGTTATAAAATAAATCATGCAGATGTAATGTACTCAAAAAAAAGGATCTAAGGCCAGTATTATCACCAGAGTACCTGGAAGAAGAAAACCCAGAACACTTTGGAATGATATTCCCACAACCCCAGTCACAGAGATTCTTTTAGTGGGGAAAAAAGTCGTGCTAAAAATAAGCTCACAAACATAATAAACCGTATCAGGAAATAATCAACCATGAGCAAGAGTCAATAGACATGGCAGTAGGGTAGTACAATTAGACAACTAAGAATTTCAGAAACTAGAAAGGCTGATCTGCTTTAAAATAATCCTTGGAGGAGGAAATCGGAGACATGTAGATGAAATAAATTTGGCCACATGTTAATAATTATTGAAGCTTCTTCTTTGACCCAGCAATACCACTCCCAGGTATTTATTCAAGAGAAATAAAAACAACTGTCCACAGAAAGACTTACACAAGAATGTTAATAGCAGCTTTATTCACAGTAGCCTAGGCTGGAAACAATCCAAGTATCCATCACTGGGAGACTGGATAAACAGTATGTAGTATATTCATACAATGGAATACTACTCAGCAATAAAAAGGAATGAACTATTAATAAATGCAACAAGGTGGGTAAATTTCACGGATCCAGTGTGCTGAAAGAAGCTGGACTCAGGATAGTACATACATATTGTATGGCTCAGGACAGTTCCTGGGCACCGAGGCAAGGGTAGAGTAGAATGGAGGGGTCGGGAGAGTGGTGAGAAGAAAGAGGAGGGGGGCTTCATTGAGCTATATGTAAATTCATTTTTTAATATTAACTTTAATGCCTTCTGTTTTATGTAAATTCCTTTTTAAAAATCTGAAATGAACGTTGCAAAATTTTAACCTATTTCATCTCAATTATAGATATAATCGCTTGTTGTATTATTTTATGTAATTTTCTTATATTTGAAATGTTTTATCTTTTAAAATAAGTAAATAAATACAGAAATAAAGATTGCCAGTGAGGCTTTCAGGAAGGGACTTACTGAATTTTCAACATACGGTTTTAGTTTCAGAAAGGCCTCACGAATGAAGCATATGTTGGTACCATACACGGAACTATTTTACCTGGCTGAAATTTAAATTAGTCATGAACATGATGATTAAGCTCTGATTCCATTCAGGATCTTAGAGAAGGAAGAATGGTACATAGAGAGGCTTAGGACAACCCACCCTGCACTAATTTGGAAGACTGATCCCTAAAACTTGAGGCCCACATCAGGGCACATGAGGCCCACTCTCAGATCTGCTAATGAATACTGCAGGGGCTAGGAAAATTCACTTTCCTACAATATCATCTTCAAAATTAAAAAGGATTTACTCCATTACTTCTTATGGCAAAGGCTACCAAAGAGTATATTGTAAAGTGACCTCAAATGTGCTTATAAGTTATGATCAAAGATCAGTTAAATATCTCATATGGAAGGTTCCTGAAGTCTATTTCCTCAAGTAATGTGAAAGTGAATGGCCTCAGCTTTTTGACACTACCTTAATCTAATACTTCTAACTGCTTAGGAGATGTTGCAAGGGATTCCAGAAAGTCTCAGGAGGCTGAGTTTTGTGACCTTACCTCACATCTCCACCTCTTCTCCCCTTCCCCACTTCTCCTGCTTCTCCTTTCCACCCAGCCGTTCATCTGCGGGCAGGGTGCTACTGTTAGGGTGGCCCCAGGACCATTTTTCCCAGCTCAGTCCCAAATTATGTCTGTCATCCAGCCGTAACAAATAACCACTAATAACACTCCCTTCATTCTCAAGAGTGTCCTGCGTGTGTGATCACCTTAGTTATTATGGAAAGAGCATGGGATTCAGAGTTAGAAGACCCAGGTTCAAAATTTATTTCTGCTACTTAAAACTGTGTAACCTTAGGCAGATTATTTACCGTGTCTGAACCTCGGCTTCTTCATCTGAAAATGGGGAATTTTACCAAATTTCCAAGTTTGCTGCAAGGACTGAAAGCATGTAAAAGCAATCAGGATATAGTTATTTCATCCACAAGAAACGAGGGCTGAGCACTTGGCGCTCTCTCTCTCTCTCTCTGGATACTGTTACCTTGCCAACTTGGAAGCAGTCATCTGCTGTGAGGGAGAAGAGCCGTCTGGGGCTGTACAGGTCAGTGACGGCGGAGCCAACGACTCTCTGGAAGACGCCCCGGGCCAGGCCCTTCACGTTGAGCATGTACACATCCTGCAGCCGCATCAGGGCCCTTGCTGCTCCCTCAACGTCCTCAAAGGCTGGCAGGTCCTGCTCCACCTTCTCATAACCATCCTTCAGAGCTGTCGGGGCAGTAAAAACACCAATCCACCACTCAAAAGCAGGTGGTGAGCATTTAATACAGGCAAGGCAAAATCACCTGTCCAAATATTTCATGAGCAAAGATCATGTTTTATGTGTGTTTATTCCCCATGACCAGCACAGCTCTTGGCGCAGAGCGGATGCTTAATACAATCTTCTGAATGAGGAACATAAGCTCTAGAATAAAAATTAAAGCACACGTGTGTGTTTCCATCCTGTCTCTGGGAATCTTGCCCTTTGTGGGGATAATTCTTCTTCCTCTTAATCTCCCCAAAGTCAGCAAATTTCTTCAAGTACAAAGTAGAATAAATTAGGAAACTGACCTTGCTACAGATCATGTTATAGTTTAATAAAATAGAAATTATTAGACAAATATGTAAATGGAATGATATAACCTGTACTGCTTCATAGGGTTGTAGTGAAAATCAAATGAGATAATGGGGGGGTGCCTGGGTGGCTCAGTCGTTAAGCGTCTGCCTTCGGCTCTGGTCATGATCCCAGGGTCCTGGGATCAAGCCCCACATCGGGCTCCCTGCTCAGCGG